GAGAGGTCATTGTTATGATCCACATGTTTATAGATTTTGAAACTAGATCAATAACCACACCACTATCCCAAGCAACAGTGACTCTAACTTCCATTATAAAACATCCTATCACTTAGTCTTTCCAATCTCCTCTTCCAGACATAGCACGCTAATATCAAAGGTTAGTCTCTGTTTGTCCAAAGTTCAATGCCCTTCAGTGTCCTAAGACTCCCTCCATTTACAATTTGATCTTAGGACTCTCCCTCTTCATATCATTCACTCCTCATTCATAATAGAATCTCCTATTGTTGCAGTTAGCAACTTCAGACCATGGAGATGAGGGAACAAAAGGCTGGGAGGGCCGTGGGGTGGAAGGCAGGATAGAGAGAGCTCATTGAAGCCACCTGCACAATCATGAATCCCCAGGAATCTAATGCCTGCACACACAGTGAGACAGAGATAGAGAGTGAGGAAGAGAGAAAAAGAGACAGAGAGACCATGTGTAGATGAAAACATTCTTAAAAAGGGAAATGATCAATGGGATGGAAGAGAACCTGGGGCTACAATCCCCCTGGTGTGGAATCTCTCCTGAGCACTAAAAGAGAGTTTATACTCTTGGTGTTTTCCCTCTAAGATGCACAGGCATTTTTCGACATGCCCTCTATTGACCAATGTAGCTGCAGTCAGGAAACATGGTTCATCTATCCATGTACTGTCAAAGAGATTCTGATGAGCTCGGTGACCTTGCTGAAGGTCACATCTGCTCACCTGGGAGAGTGGGAACTAGAAACAAACCCTATAATGCCTAAGTGTTCTCTCTCTAACTTTATATATGACCTGAAAAAAAAAACAATGTTCTCTCTCAGGCAGACCAGTAGAGTCCAAAGAACTGCCCCGAGCCTCTAGGTAAGCAACACAAACAACTAAGATAGCAGAAGAAACCAGACCTTCCTATTTCTGTTTTATCTCTTCTGTTAAGATTCTGTGGGATTTTATAATGTACATAATATATTAGTATAGTCCTACATGTATAATTTATAAATACATAAATATACATATACTGGTGTGTGCTCAAACACTTAACTGATGATGCATGATCAGAATGTAAAAAATTCACCAGTCTAACCATTTTCTGGCTCTAATTCTCAAAAATATTGTCAAGTTTTCATAGCTTGATTTCATTATTTTATTTTCCCAAGTGGAGCTGCAAGTCATCTTTCTAGAGTGGACACAAAAGGCTAACCAAATCAGAAGCTTATAGAAGCTTCTATCAAGCAATCTCTAGGGATTCCACATTGCCATCCAGGTTACATTGGTCAAATTATCTGTTGCTTTGTTTCTCCCCTTTCAGTGCATCGTTTCAATCCGACTAGCTATGTGTCAACCTAGTTCCCTACCTAAAATTCAAGCTGGAAAATCAAGTCAATTTTCTTTTTGGCCATGGGGCCTATGTTACTATAAGGATACTCTGGGGAAGTTAAAGTAAGGATGAAAGAGGTTTAGGGCTGGGGGGCTTTCCCAGTATGCTGTTCACGGGTTTAAATATTTTCTCCTTTTCAATCAGCTTCCCGTAATCTTAGAGCAGAGTTCAAATGACTTCAGCCCTTTAGCCTTTCTTTGCCATGTTAGATAACACACCAGGAATAAAGACGCTAATGTCCTTCTTAGATGGTCACAACTCCACTTGCTAACCCTGGGACTAGTTATCTACGGTGGGCCTTATGTAAGACGACGGGATGTAGAGAATTCAACAAGTTGGTAAAGAGAACTCCCTTTCCCCGATCCTGGGCTGTGGTTGGACTTCAGTCTCCTGAAGACGTAAAAGTTGCCTGATGATCAAGGTCCCTGAAGAGAGAGAAAGAAGGGAAGGTACAAGAGATCTAAAGAGGAAGAGAAAAGTTGCAGGGCTAAATGCAACCCACAGGGCGCTAGCCTCCGCCCACAGGCGTGGCAGAGGCAAATACACTCCTTTCTTTGCCATGTGAACTATATTAAACCCTTCCTAGGTCTCAATCTGTGCAGCAGTTCAGCCATGGCCTCGTTTAGTTCTCGCCACAGCTGTATGCTATAGGTTGATAAAGCACAGAGGTCCCAAATTCTCTCCTTTCAGGCACACATAATTTCTCAGAAACAGTCTGTAGCATCTCTGGAACAAAAGAAACACACCAGAGCCCATTTACTAAGGAATTATATCCAAACTCCTTAACATTGATTCGCAGAGATGTTGCTGTTTTCCTTGAAAGTCTATGATTGTGTGTGTGTGTGATATATATGTGGTGGCATGCATGCCATGGTACACGCATGAAGGACGGAAGGCAGCTTTGTGAGGTCAGTTCTCTCTTTCCACCTTCATGTGTTTGGGGAAACAAACTCGGGCCACCAGGTTGTGCAGGAACTTCTTTTCATCCATCAGGCCTTCTTGCCAGCCCTAAAGTTTCAAAACATCACAGCTTTGTTGAAACCTCTGGGGCTGTCTGACACACCGCTTGGGAACCATACGTACTATCTGAGGCCAAGAGGAGAATTAGAATCCTTATTTTATTGGCGGGAGACTGAAACTCGGAAAGATTGCCCAGTTGGTTTGCGGCAGCCCAGGAATCTGAGCTCGTGGAGAGCCATCCTGCAAGCCTTCCTACTCTGTCCTCCTGGCTTACTGTCTTTCCACAGAGTCTCTAATTCCACTCGAGTACCGTGTACTGGACAAGTGTCCTCACCCACACCCAAACATAAGGCACCTGGCCATATGTGCACACACACACATGCCCATCCTTAAGGTCCAAACCAGTTCCTCCCACTGGGAGGGTATTCCTTTGAATCCAACTTTTTAGAAAGTTCTGTTTCAAATTTCAACCCCAAGTTTTATCTCTTGACTTCTTGTGTCAATATTTATCTTTTCCTTTTAAATCCTGTCTTTTAAATATCAGGTCAATGGCATTTGGTATTATACTGTTCTCTAACTGCTTTATCAGGGTAAATATAAGTCTTGTTTCTTTTTGTTTTGTTTTGTATATTGGGGTTTGAATGCTGGGCCTCTCCCATGCTAGTAAAGTACTTTATCATTGAGTTTTTACCTCCATCTCATTTTTTCCTTTTACGTTTTCCATTCTTGTTCTTTCTTCTTTCTTTTTGGCCTTAATAAGTAACTTACAGTGTATCCTTGAACTCACTCTGTAGCCCAATAGTCCTTAAACCGACATTCTCCTGCCTCAGCCTCCTATGTAGCTGGAATTACATGCCATCCGGATGGACTGAATTTTTCTAAGACTGAATGCCATCCCCAAACAGCAACTGCATGTTATTTTGCAGTGGACACACCAAAGCCATTATACCAGTTGTTACTGGAATATTAGAAATTGACAGGACACCCTAATGCCTGGATGTAAATAACAGGGGGTGAATAGTCAACATCAGAGCATTGGGCATGGCATCTAATATCGTTATGAGATTTTTAAGTCAGAGTTCTGTTTGCTCTCACTACAGTCCGATTATTGCATTCCTTCCATGTGACACAAAACATAGACAAAGTCACTTTGGCCAACAGTCTACCTGCAAATGGGAGGGGCAGGCCCAGAAGCCCTGTGCCTCACCTCGTGGTCTTCTTGTTTACACCTGCCTTAACTTGGTCTCACCGAGTCGCAGGCACAGCCCAGGTCCCCTGTGCTGAGCAGACTCTTGGTTTCAAAGCTCCACGTGGTCAGTACCTTGACCGTGTTTTCAGGTAGAACTGTGACCCTTGCGTGATAGGAGAATGTGGAGATACAGCTGGGGAAAAAGCCCACTCTTTGGCTGGATCAATGGGCTTATGGAAAGTTCCAGATGATTTCCTAAATGAAGCTAACCCAAATGAATGCTGTCCCCAAACAGGGACTGCATGTTACCTTGTGGTGAACATATAGAAGCCACGATGCCAGTTGTTACATCAGCAAGATGCTGGAACTAGAAACTGGCAGAATTAGGCAGAACTTTAGAATCTTTCAACTTAGGACAGAGACAACTATAGACTGAGCCTGAGGGCTTCAGAGGCTGACAAGTTTAAGGCTGAAGGATGACAGGGAGAGGCAAGCAAGGTGAAATACATAGCTAGTCCGTATAGGCTGTGAGAGCTTGTGTAAAGACAAGTCAGGTCTGTGGCTTGTGGCTTAGACCTCTGCCCAAGGTGTGCGGAGATGCTGATTCTTCCTAATATATGATTTGGGGGAGTTACTTCATCTTTCTGTTTCAGCATTCCTGTCAGCAGAATGAGGTCATGGAAGAGTTGTGAAGATTAAACAGAAAAACAAACATAAAGCAGGAGGGACGGTGCTCGGCGGTGACAGACACTTAATAAGTAATAGCGGCTTATCGAAGATGACAAATAGGTTCCGGGCTGTGCTGAACTCAGCAGGCACTTATTAAATGGCAGTGACAGACAGTGCCACCACCACCATCATGACAGTGTTGTTTTGTCAAAGCCGGTGTCCTGCTTTATGGAGCTGTTCCGAAGCGCCAGCCTTCAGATTAAGGGGCAAACAGGAAACAAACCAGAAAAAGTCAAAAGCAAAAAAGTTCACCCTGAGAGATCCTGACAGGAAACAGGAGGAGCCAACATATGGTGCGGGGCTGAAAAAAAAATAAAATAAACAACGCACCATGTGAATATACATTTCAGATTACATCTCATTTTCTTCTGCATCATGTCTCCAGCCAGTTGGGAACACACAGATGTGCCATGTTTATTTGTAAAGTTTTATTGAGATTACAAAAATGTCAGCCTTGAATGTTATGAAGAAGAGAATAGTGGAGGGTTGTGAGGGGCGGTCGGGTGGCTGATTTCACTGAGGGAAGAAGTGGAATGTGTCTGGGATGGACCCTTTCCTCAAATGCCTGCCTTTCTGGAAAGGAGATACCATGCTACTGAAGCAGTGCACACAGAAAACACTTGAGAATGCCAACAGAAACCTTTGTTATTATATTTGGAAGTATATGCAGCAAGCCATTTCCCCAAGGCCCCAAACACCCCAGTGACTACATGGAATACTCACAATGATTACGGTATCCTGGCTAACAGGTATATCATGTGACTGCTCTTGGAGGGACTTGTCTGAACCAACCTCGGAGACAAACACCTTGAAAAGAAGGAGAAACCCTGGTGAGAACAGAGATAACATTTCCCTAAGATCAAAGGTTCATAAACAGAAATGTGGGGGTATTGAGGTATGTCCCCTTGCCCCAGAAGTACTAAGTTTCTGGGAATAAAGGGTAGTTTCTGGAAGGGTCATAAGCTTGCTCAGGCATGGAGAAAGACTCCTACAGTGAGGAAGGATGGGTAGAGTTGGACTCAGCTCATCCCTCTTCCCCCAAAATATAACCTTCATGCGGCACTCATTTCCCATGCTTGTAGATGAGTCCTTGTCTTTGCTCATTTTGTGTCAACTTGACAAAAGACAGCAGTAATTTCAGCAAGGTGAACCTCCACTGAAAAAATACCCCTGCAAGATTGACCCCTGGGCAAGCCTGTGCATCTTCCTTTTTGACAATTGCTGTGGGTAGGCCCTGTTCACTCAGGGTGGTGGTTATGGGTACTGGAAGAAAGCAGGTTGAGCAAGCCAGTAAGTAGCACTCTTCCACGGTCCCTACTTCAGTTTCCATCTCCAGGTTCCTGCCCGGCTGAGCCCCCACCCTGATTCCCCTCAGTGATGGAGGGTGACCCGAAAGTTGCAAGATGGAATAAACCCTTTCCTCCTCAAGTTGCATTTGGTCACGGTGTTTTATTGCTTAGACAGTCTCAAGAATAGATCGCCACTTGAAGACCAGAAGGCGTGGACCGCGAACAACAGTCTCTCTTCTTTAATGCAACAAAGACTGAAAGGGGTTGGTGGAACTCGAGTGAAATAAGCCGCTTTCTCTCCATCCCAGAGGAAATGCTCAACCCCAGGGGCAGGGCTTCGTGGGCTTGAGGTGGCCAGCTCTCCTGGTGTCACCAAGATTTCAGAAGCCTGAAACGTCCTGATTTCTAGAGCCACCCCGTCTCTAAAATCACTCTTCAGAGAAAAACGTTTGGGGGGGCCTGTAGTAGTCCAACCTAGGTTGTAGTCTTTGGTGGAAGAGCCACAGTGGCTGATCACTCCCCGGCTTCACCTGTGTGCCCCTTTAACTCGGAGCCTCGCCCTGACTCCCTATGATGTCCTCTGCTTCTGCATTACTATCGAAAGTTGATGGCAGGCAATTGGCAGCAGAAACTTTGCGTTCTTCTTGCTTCGTTTTCCTTTGCTAAATAGCAAAGACTGGGAAGGTCCCAGTGTGTGAATGGTGGTACCAGCTCACAGAGGGGAGTGACGCAGCTATTAACACGAGAGGATCTAACACAAGAGGGCCACACACAGGGTGAATATTTATCATACAGAAACCAGACTCCGGGTCGCTTCAAAACCTGAAGCATTTGGAGTGCTGTCATGACACCAAAACATAACAAAGTAAAATTTCACACCTGACTTCATGTGATGAGTGAAAACTTAGATGCACTAAAATTATATAAAATCGTCTCCTGCTATATGTGTATAAGGTGCATACAAACTATCATTAGATTGGGGCTTTAGCTTTGGATCCTAGCCTCAAGATATCTAAGTATAGATTAAGCAGATCCTCTGAAATCTGTCTGGAAAAAAAAGTCACCAGTGTAAAAATATTTCTGGTCCCAAGCAGATAAGGGATATGCAACCTGTTCAGAAGGTACAAACATAGTGAAAATGGGCTCTCGCTCTCTCTCTCTCTACACACACACACACACACACAGCAGAATCCACCTTGCTCCTGTACTCACCGTGTACCCAGTGATGTCACGGCCAGAATACTTTGGTTTTGTCCACTGGAGGGTGAAAGCTGTGCAGTTCAAGATTCCCATCTTGATCTCAGCAGGAGGCTCCAACTTGTCTGCTTCAGACAAAAGAGATGGTGTTAGAAGCTCACTGTAGCCCATCTTCAGTGTTGTTTATACAAGATTTGAGTGTGTACTGACAGACAAAGATCACAGTTCAGGAAAATGAAACACTGTCTGATATACCACATCTGTCTCAGACAATCTCACTAGAATTAGATTCCTGACTCCCAACCCACTGCTGATAAAGTGGCCTGATAACTTTGATCCATCCTATAACTTGAGGTCATTAGAGATCAGCAAAGTGATATTTACAGTTCTTAGTGGGATGGGCCAAACTCTATGGCTTTCTCTTGAGAACTGAAAAGGTTTTAATAAGATGGTCAGTTTTTAATCTACTTATAACAATTTGTTGTGTGTGCGTGTTACATACATGTAGCTGCTTATATAGCTGATATAGTCTTATGTGCTGTGGGATAATACTCTTGTAAACTGTAAAGGTTTGTCATTCATATTAGTTTAATAAAACGCTGATTGGCCAATAGCCAGGCAGGAAGTATAGGCAGGGAGACTAGACTAAGCAAATTCTAGGAAGAAGAAAGGCAGAGAGGCAGTCATCAGCTAGATGGAGAAGAAGCAAGATGAGAATGCCTTACTGAGAAAAGATAACAAACCATGTGGTTAAACACAGATATGAATTATGGGTTGATTTAAGTTGTAAGAGGTAGTTAATAGTAAGTCTGAGTTAATGAGCCAAGCAGTTTATAGTCAATATAAGCCTCTGTGTGTTTCTTTGGGACTGAACAGCTGCAAGACTGGGCAGGACAGAAACTTCTGTCTACACTTATGGGTTGTTTTGAAAATACGTTCTGTAAAGTTCAGTTTTAATTATCATCTTAACACAATCTAGAATCACCTGAGGGTCTCAATGGAGGATTGTCTAGACTGGGTTGACCTGTGTGCATGTTTATCATTCATTATCTTAATGATGTTAATTGAAGTGTGAAGGTTCATTCTTTATGAGTAGCACTACTCTGTGAGTTTGGATCCTGAACCTTGTGGGAGTAGAGAAAAAGATGGCTAGAGAGATGGCAAGAGTGTCAGGAGCACTCTGCTCGGACAGAGGACCTGGGTTCAGTTATTGGCACCCAAATAGCAGTTCACAATTACCTGTAACTCCAGTTAATGGGGATTCAATGCCCTCTCTGGCTTCACGGAATACTGTAAGCATGTGGTGCACATATATTCATGCAGGCAAACACTCATATACATCTTAATAGATAGATAGATGGACAGATGGAGAGACAGACAGACAGAAAGGTAAATGTTGAAGAGTGGAGAGAGCAAGTGAGCAAAAGCATGCATACATTCAAAACCCTCTGTTGTTGGACTGTGAATGTGATGTGACTTGCCTGCAATAATGGACTTACCCTTTCCCTGACTTACCTGCAATAATGGAATGTAACCTGGAACTATAACCTAAATAAACCCTTTCTCCTCTAAATTGCATTTGCCATGGTGTTTACCACAGCAACAGAAAAAGAATCTAGGGTGCTATTTTTCTTAAACAATTTTATGACCATAAATAAGATATTTTATACTTCTAAAACTACATTTAAAAGTTGTCAAAATTTAGAGAACGCACACATGTACACAATTCCATCATTCAGAAATAAGTCTGGCTAGCATTTTAGTAGACCTCTATTGGTCATATGCAATTGAAAAAATTATTCTATATGTGCATGATACATATAATTTTAGTTATGTATCATTTTGTTTATAATTTAGTGATTATGTATTTATACATTCATAATTTTATATTACATTTACTTAATTTACTATCATTAAAATCATTATTTTTAATGACTGTAAATGCTCCCATACTATACTTGTTTTATAATAAGCAGTATTTTTCATTCCATTACCATTAGGCACTTTATTTCCCATAATTGAGCATTTTAAATAACATTCCATGAGGGCAGAAACCAGTTCTTTCCTATTCAGCACACAGAGTAGGAAATAAACAGAGCTCAGCCAACATCCCTCAAGTGAACGAATGTTCTAAAGTCTGACTCTCCTTGCTGACTATGGTGGGGCACACCTTTAATGCCAGCACTCAGAAAGGAGAGGCAGGTGGATCTCTGTGAGTTCGAGACCAGCCTGGTCTACAGAGCTAGTTCCAGACCAGTCAAGGCTACAGAGCGAGACCCCGTCTTAATTTTTTTTTTTAATTTTATTTTTCGAGTGTGTCCAGATGTTATTTTTCTTTTAATTACTGCTTAGAATTCTGTAGCTTTATCAGTTAGATATTTGCAACTTACAGAGATCTAATGTGTCCATTTAAACGGGCCAATTTCTTACTTCTAGGGCTGTTCACCAATGTTCTTATCTCCCCCCTTAACTAAGACTTTTTTTTTTACTTGAGTTATATTAGTAGCTTTGAAAAACTGAGGAAACTGCTCAGTTAATCTCATGTATAATACTGTTAATTCAATATTACATACAGGTTTTTAAAATGTCTTTAGACATCTGTCACCTTGTTATTCTCATTCTTTCTTAAGTAGTTAATTGCTTTACGGATGTTTCCAATAACAGAACTCAAGGTTTTCAGACAAGCTAATTGATGGAACCTTGTTTCACTTAGCAGGAACTAGGAGGCCTGGAGGCAGCGATACCTACATTCAGGAGCTTATCCTCTCCATATTGCTGTAAATATTACACTTCTATGGAAAACCTGAGGCTTCCTTCACCTCTTTGGCAGTTCTGTGATCAATCCCAGAGCCTTGGATATCCAAGGGAAATGCAAGATCACAAAGTGGCAGCCCAGGTTCTAAAACCCAAGTGATGGATTGGGCACGATGGCCCACGACCTTCATCCCAGCACTAGGGAGAGAGAAGCCGGCTAGTCTGTGAGTTCAAAGACAGACGAGTCAACGGAATGAGTTCCAGGCCAGCTGGAATTCCATAGTGAGGCCCTGTCTCGTAAAATAACAACAACAACAAAACAAAACAAACCTTTGTAAAATTAATTTTTAAGTTAAATATTTTATACTTTTTGGAGATTTTTCTTTGTGTATTTCATTTTTTAATTGAGTTATTTTTTTCTCATTGTTTTATAAGAAGTTTTGATAAGATCTTAGCCATTAAATCAACTATATTTTCTTACTATAATTTTATTATTGGGTCTGACTGTAAAATTGCCACTACAGGCCAGATTCACGGCTGCGTTAAAAGATCTATGCTTAACAACCTAAAAGGTGGCCGGAAATAAGGACAATGATAGCGGAAATGGTTTAACAGTTCCTTCAGGAAATATTAAGACAACCAACAGGATAGTTACATCTGTATTCATAGGAATAGGACTTCTTGCTATGCACTGAGAAAAGTTAAAACTGACTGAGGCAGCAAGCTTGCTTAGATTAGGAAAAGAAAGTCAGTCATCATATTTCGTGTATGTCTGTAATGGTTCAGTTCCTAAATTAGAAAACACCCTAAAATTTTTAAGAATAACGTCCTCCAGGATTCCTGCTTCATGGCCGAGTCTTCCAGAAGTTCCGTAGAAGAAAGGCTTTAATAAGTTTTGCCAAAATAAATGGGACAGTTTATCAGATTTTCTGCTTCACTGAATAATCTGCCAGATACTCTAGGAATGTAGGCTGAAGGTATATGCCCCAATGTTGCAGAAAATCTTTGGGTGACTGTCCAGGCAGTCAGATATCTCTGTCATTTCTAGAGTTTTGGAAGTTGTTTATAATGTACTTCCTATTTACATAGGTAATATGTAGATAGATAGATAGATAGATAGATAGATAGATAGATAGATAGATAGATAGACAGAGATTCAGACAGACAGATAGTAGAAAGAAAGAGAGGGGAAAGGAATGAGGTCAGAATTCTACTCTGCAGCAGAGAATCAGAACCAAGAAGCCTTTACTCTCCCACTGCCAGTACTGGTACCGTAGCTGCTTCTCCATCCAAGAGAGTAAAGGACACTTGAATGACCAGTTCACATATTCTAGTGACCTGGCCTGGCTGCAAAAACAGCAGTAGGAAAATGGCCTCTGGCCCTTTCTTGTTCTCTATGCTTTCCGAGAGCATCTTTGATTGGTAGAACTTAGTTTATACCCAGAATGGCGACTTGAGAGGAGGTGTGTGTGTGTGTGTGTGTGTGTGTGGGATGTCATTTGTTTGTTTCCAAGCCTTTGTGTTACAGTAACAGCTCCTATACAGAAAGTGAAACGAATAGGGAAAATGTCAACCTACAGCACCCATCTTGGTATCATAGAAACATAAATTCCAGCAATATGTCCTTTTCACTGTCATATATTCTGGATAGAATTTACATCAAATATTGCTGGGCATTGGTATGACTCATATTTCATTGTCCTTTTCACTCATTTCTCTGTTCTTTCTACAGCTCTATCAAAATTGAGCCTCCTAAACGTACAAGGGACTGGTAGCCAGTGAGGTCACAGGAAGCATAAAATGATGTGAGCCCACAAACAAGTTAACAAAACACTGCAGTTGGGTTTAGGGACCCTTACTGTTGGGGAACATGTAGGAATTTTGTTGCACACAGCAAACACATGCCAGGTTCTGTCTGGTTTGTAAGAATTAGGCAGACAAAATGGGAGTGAAGGAAGGTGTCCTAGACAGAAAAAGCAACATTTACTTTCTCCTACAGTCACAGGAAGAATGTTTCCAGCACATACCCTCCAGTCTGGGATCAACAGCTGAGCACGCCTGGGAGTGAGGGGAGGAAGGGATCAGACTGGCTACGGGGAACCTGCCTAGGGCCACAGAGAAAACACAATGTACGTCTCCCAAAATGACCTTTTCGTGCTGCCTACGAGGTAGGAATGTGCGTGAAAGGCAACCAGGTCAGACACCCAGACCAAATACCGAAAATATTCCTGAAGAGCTTGTGACACCTGGGAAATCAAACTATAGAACGTACTTGGATTTCCAAATCCTATTTAATTTTTGGTAGAGGAAATTTCTAAGCTTCAAAGAAGCTAGAAAAAAAAATCAAAAGAAAACTAGCTGATTCTCAATCATG